AATATTATTCATATGAATGTAGTGAGAATAAAGATAACTAAACATGTCCTTTGAAAATTTTTCATAAAAAAAAGAAAATCTTTCATGCATTCCTGTTTCTTTCCACTTTTTTCTTTTTTTTTCTTTCCACTTTTTTAAAAAGATTTATTAATTTTTATTGGAAAGTCAGATTTACAGAGAGAAGGAAAGATAGAAGGAAAGATCTGTCTGCTGGTTCACTCCCCAAGTAGATGCAATGGCTGGAGCACAGCTGATTGAAAGCCAGGAGCTAGGAGCTTCTTCTGAGTCTCCCACAGGGGTGCAGGGTCCCCCAACTGCTTTCTCAGGCCAGAAGCAGGGAGCTGCATGGGAAGTGGAGCAGCTAGGACACAAACCAGCACCCATTCAGGATCTCAGCACTTACAAGGCAAGAATTTAGTCACTGAGCTATCATGCTGAGCTCTCCACCGAACTTTTCGTATCCATAATGGATAAAATGTCTCTTTTAAAATTTCATAAAGGCCTATAATAAATAATGTAGAAGTATGAGAAAACAGTAAACAGAGAGAATAAATTTCAAGAATCGGAGTTAGAGGTAAGGCCACCAACAGACTAATATCAATTATACAAGACTGCTTGAACAAATCCCACCAGGCAGAGCTGGCATAAATGGGCGCAAGTCAGTCCAACCCACATTTCAACGCCTTTTTTCCCCCCAACATAGTTCTATCAGTGAGAGACAGAGGTGGAAAGAATCTTTCATAGTCTGGTCACTTCTTAGTTTGATCAGCAAAGGCATACTTTTGCACTATATTGTCTCCAATAATGCCTGAAAATATTTAGGGTCCCTCTAAACTTCCTTTTCTGAATTCTATCCAATTTATACAGTTTGTAATCACTAGAGGATGCAACAAATAAAACAGCAGCTTCAGATTTGTTACATAAGGAAACTTTTGTCTCACTGACCCGAATTACATTAAAAAGATTACCCTTTTTCTCTGAAGGATTGCAAGGCAAGTCGATGTGAAACTCGAATGAAGTTGTCTGAATATAAATGGGAAATAACAGAAAATGGAATCTCCTGGAAGACAGGAGACATAGAACCTGCTCTCTGTTTTCCTTTGAGATGAAACAGCATTTTATAAATTGAACCTAGATTTCCTCTGCTGTGTGCGATCCAAATAGTTGTAGAAATCGTAGTTGTAAGTAAGATGTAAGTAAGCCGAAAGGTTTTGGAAAGTGATACATACAAGCTGGAGTGTGTCCAGGCAGACAATTTTGTGTGCAGAGAACTGGAGATAGAAATGGAAGACTTAGCTTCCAACAGTGAATTCATTCCTTTTTCTATCTATACAAGTCATTCAGCTTTCCAAGCTTAAATGGCAATGCACAAGTCTTTAATTTCTGTTGTCTTATTTTAAAGGGCATTGAAGAAATTACCTTTTTAAATGTGCATACTTTCTTTAATTTCATCTTTAACTGTGCAAGTGAACTCAACGAACCTTGTAGATACAATCACAAACCTATTTAAACAAATGCCAGAACCCTAGCAATATTGTGTGATATGCATATTAGTTATGAAACCAATATTCTCTTACATCAAACGACATTGCATTTTGATCCTATGTTGGCCATTTACTTGCCATATGACTTTGGATAAACTATTGAGCTTTTTTGGTCCTTCATTTCCTTATGTGTAAGATGTGAGTAATTGGGCCCAGCATGGTAGCTTAGTAGCTAAAGTCTTTGCCTTGCACATTCCAGATCCCATTTGGGTGCTGGTTCTAATTCAAGCTGCTCCACTTCCCATCCAGCTCCCTGCTTGTGGCCTGGGAAAACAGTAGAGGACGGCCCAAAGCCTTTGGACCCTGCACCCACATGGGAGACCTGGAAGAAGCCCCTCGCTCTTGGCTTCGATTAGGCTACTTGGGGAGTGAATCAGCGGACAGATCTTTCTGTATCTCCTTTACTCTGTATATGACTTTCCAATGAAAACGAATAAATCTTTTTTTAAAAAAGAGGAATGAGCAATTATATCATTTATAAAATCATTATGAGAAAGTGATTATCAGAACCAGACTACCTAGCATGTAGCAAGAACTTGACATGAGCTGGCACTTCTTGGATAGGTGTGTAATTTTCTTCTATACAAATGAACTTTTGTAATAATAAAGAAAAGGGTGAAAATAACATTATCTGTGGGTGGGAATAAATCACAACTGTTCATAGCCAGTAGCTCCACGTATTTAACATTCAGGATGTTCCACACCTCCTCCGAAATTTTTGATCATGATTCACCAGACATTCTTCCTACACCTACATCTAACAGACATTTATTTTTGTGCAGTTCATTTAAGAAAAAATTAACCAAGGACATGACTTCTATGCCTGGGAAGTATGTCAATTAAGAAAATGGAGATGCATAAGTAATTAAAGAATCTTCCTTTAAAACAATCAGGCTAACAGGTTAGTCCTGTACCACGAAAGTGGACAAGGTTTCTTTCACTCTCTCGGTTAATTGTCCTTTGATGTCCTAGAAAGAGATTTCTCTTTTTTTCCTTCAGGACTGCTGCTTTCTAAATCTTCTCTTGTTTGTCTTTTTCCTTTACTGGCAAGGGTAAGGGTTTTAGAGCTTCCAGTAAAAAAAAAATTTTTTTTTAAAGATATGAACTCATAAAACTAACATTTTGTAAATAAAGCTGAATCTCACAGAACAGCAAAAAGAAAAAAAAGAAAAAAAAAGTAGAGCCAGGAAAATTCCTCAAAGAGACAAAATGGTTAGCCATCTTAGAGTTTTTAGAGAGAGGAAGGCAAAATCAGAAAGAAAATATAGGGGCTGGTGCAGTGCTGTGGCATGCTAACCCTCTGCCCGTGGCATGGGCAGCCTTTGCAAGTGCCCACTTGAGCACTGGCTGATCCAATTCTGATTTAATTCTGCTAACGAGCCTTGGAAAGCAGCAGAAAAGGCCCAAATCCTTGGGACCCTGTACCCATATGGGAGACCTAGAAGATACTCATGGCTCCAAGCTTCAAATCAGCCCAGCTCTGGCCGTAACAGCAATGTGAGAAGTGAACCATCATATGGAAGATCTCTGCCTTTTTTTTTCTTTCTCCCTCTTTAGTAATCCTGACTTTCAAGTAAAATAAATAAAAGGAAGGAAAATATACTAACTTTATTTATCCTATGCCAGTATTTTAGTCACATAAATACTGCATAGTGGAAGTAACTGTTTTGTTACAAGGTTAATTTGAGGAGTTCTGCAACCACCAGTACGTGTAGAGACTGATGTGGGTGGCAAAGTGGATTGGACCCTGTACTGGATGGCTGAGACAAGAGTGAGGTCTGGGGTCATCTCTAGTGAGATTTTTTTAGGGGACTACCCCGCGCCAACTGCATCCCTGTATTCAGAACTCCAGCCGCAGGGAAAATCAGAGCATCTGTGATCTGGCCGTAGAGTGCATGTGTCAGAGCTGGGCCTCCTAAGTGGCTAAGACACAGCAGTGGATGGCATGCCCAGATGAGCATGAAGGATACGGCTGTCCATTGGTGCCTATAGAGAACATCTGGTACTATAGCAGAGGATGGAGGGCAGAACAAATCGGTCAACTACCCCAGCCAAGGGTTGTCAGCAAATATCTGGGCGAACCAAGACTCTGAAGGTGGACTCTGTCAGCCAGTGGACCTTGGAAGGATTTCCTCCTCCTTGCAGTAATAAAAGCAACAGCACTCCAGAAATATCCAAACCACTTGGGCAGAACCCTCGGAATATGTACACATGGAGACTCTGGGTTGATAAGAGGGAGCAGTCCCTCATCCCTGGGTACTGGGACATTTGGAAAGTTGTGTCTAGCTTGCCCTTCTGTCTTTCCCCTGCCACCAGAAACAACAAGAAATAGCAATGAGTTCACTCACTTTTCTCTAAACCTCAAGCCTTCCCACCCTGATCAACCATGCAATCATTACAAAAAACAAAATCAATTACAAAGAAAGTGACCATCAATTTTATTAATAGAAATTATAATTTAAATGTATCAAGAAGGAACATACACTATTCTTTTTCTGGTGTTTTTAAGATTTTTATCACAGATAATCTCTTCGTGATCATGGTATCTCCCCTGCCAGGTACGTATCACGGATAATCTCTTAACATGAAAAAAAAAAAAAAACTTGAACTGGTCCCCCAGAACTCATTCATTATGAAGGAGCTACTAACTTGCTTTATTGGGACTCCTTTTGGTATTTATAAAATCTGTCCACCAGAGGGTGGTACAAGCAAAATTTCCTCCCTATACACAGGAATAGGGAAGGCTCCACCTAGCTGCTTGAAATTGTCAATTGAATTGCCCGCTCCTTGTGCTACTTCACCCTGGCATACACTCTGCTGTTCACCCTGGCAGCGACCCACTGTGCTGCTCTGAGGCTCAGGTCTATTTGTTTGCAAGGAAGAGTCTGGTACCCAACAAACAGAGACCCATCTGGTAGAAACAAACTTTCACTGAGCACTTTCTCTACCTGATAACTAGGCACAGGAAACTGAAATCCTGTGAGGATTGAGAGGTCAGCCCTTCTGCAAAGATGTCCAAATTACAGCCAGTGCAGAAAAAGAATGTTTCTCCCCTTGAACCTTCCAGCCATCATCGGAGGAGCAAGCAGAACATCCTGGCTCTGTCTGTGGACCAAACCCAAAAGGCTCATGATCAGGACCAGAAGGGTAGATCACAGCAGTAATCAGACTAGCAAATACGTCTGTGGCAACTCCCTTCTCTGTGGACATGGGCCCAGGTCTGGCTCAGAACATAGGGCCGTCACAACTTAGGGCAGCATCCTGCTGTAGCACAGGCAGGTCGAAGAGTCAGGGAGAACTGCCCAGCTGCAGTCGATTTTATCTGGAAGGAATGAATATTTGGGAGAAGTCCCAGCGCTTCTTGTGTGCCAACCCGTCCCCACCTTCTCCAGCCCCCTCCCACTGGTTCCTCCCCTTCCAGCTGCTCTGGCTCTAATAAAAACCCCAAAGCTTTCCACTGACAGCCTGTAGGAGCCTCTCCCTATTGCTGCTGCAGGAGATACTGCCACCCAGCCAGGGGACCAGCGAGAGACCATGAGGAGCCTGCTTCTTTTCACCATTCTGGCTGCCTTGGCAGTGGCAGTTCTGTGCTATGGTGAGAGAACTTTTCTCCCTGCCCTTCCTCTGGGTTTCTGTGCTTGGCTGCTTCTTTTATTTGTATTTTCACCCAATCCCCTCCTCATCTTCGCCCTTTCTCTTTTACAATCTTAGAGATGCCATGCTTTTCACTTTTCCCAGTGTCCATTCACACTGATCTGTCCCATCCTTCTTTTCTGATGTTTGAACTTTGGAGAACCTTGGACACAACTTAACAGGAAGTCCTTTCAGTGGTAAGTCTCTACACACCTAGTAGAAACGTAGGCATTTCCGAAGGAAGAGCTCAAATTCCTAGTCCCTGCATTGCAATTTTTGAAGATGTTTATTTAGACTTTAGCTAAAAATTTTAAATGTTGATTATATCTCCTACCTTTAAGAAAATTAGTTTTCACGTGACATATTAAATATCCATCCTAAGAACTGGATGATATAATGAAGTTACTATATCAGGTCCACGAATTAATTTTTAAATAAAATTCTACATTTAAATAACTTCAGAAAAAAATCTGATTTCATAATTTCTACTGTCAAAAAAATTTTACATGACTTCTACAGTTTAATCAAAAGTTGTTTCTTCAAACTTATAAAAGGTAATTTAAAACAAAGTCAACATTACCCTTCCACTGCCTGAATATTTTAGCTGTGTTTGAGCCTAAATTCTATTAACAGCCCAAGTCTTTTGCTTCTCATTCCTGAAATTAGTCACAAGCTTCAGGTATCAGAGAATCTTATTTATTTGCCTCCTTTTTAGCTTTTCAGGCAAACTCACTTGCTAACAAACATAAGTCTCTGTTTCCCAAATTCACATGCAAAGAAGACTCATGCCTTGCAGCTCTTTCTCTGAGCTGGTCTTGTGCCCAGCACGCGTCATCAGCTGGAGCCAGTGGCTTCTGCGGCTCCCAAGATGACACCCGTTGTTAAGAGGTTTCCAAGCCCCCTCTTGGAAATCTGTGCTGGTGAAGTGCAGCAGGGAAACCACTTTGGGGCTCTCCTACTCAAAGGCTCCTGTGGCCTCCTCCCCTGTGCTCCCCAACAGGCCATACATCCAAGAAAGCAGCTCTCCAGGGACTTTACAAAGAAACACTGAAAATGTCTAAATTCTCTCATTTGAAACAGTCACAGCCAAAGCTAGCAGCTACCTCCTCCCGCATTGGATAAAGTGTAGAAACAACTATAATGAGGCTAGAGTTAAAATAAAGAGACCCTACATTCCTAAAATTTATAATAACCACATGCCAAATATATACAGCCCATATTTTTAATACTTTCATTTCCCTCTATCCCTACATTTAGACAACTGCAGTGTGTGGTAAATGACAATATAACTGATTTTTTTTTTAATTCCAGAATCTCATGAGAGCATGGAATCCTATGAAATTAGTAAGTGAAAATTTGACTTTCTAATTTAAATCTCTTGCATTAACGATTTTCTCACTATGTCTAAGAAAAGAAAATGGTAGAATATATGACAGGAAGGGAAAGGGGGCTTCTTTTGGAAAATCAAAGGAAATTTTAAATCCAGTGACTGCAAGAATCGCCAAATGAACAACTCTTAAAGTTTGGAGTACTACAATTTAACGTTTAAGCTGCATTCAGTAGACACAGAAGTCATAAAATCTCATATGGAAACTTGAAGTTGGCCTCACGTCAACCACACAGATGGAAAACGAGGAGTAATGACAAATCCGCAAAACACAGAGGCCAAGTCAGCTGGGAGACCACAGGCGTCAGCATTAAGTTGAATGATGTTGAATATCTGGATTTACAAAACTGGAGTACAGCAGGAAATAGCATATTCTTTTGAGTTTCTATTTCTTCATTATTTTTTAAGAAAGTTTAAACTGTTCATTTACTAGCAGTAAGCTTTTAGGAATGCTTTGTAAATCCTCAGGACAGAAAATTCTTCCTCAGATACAAACCAAGCAGGAATTCCAAACAGAGAAAGCAAAGGGACTGCCCAAAGGCAAAGGAACAAACCAAAATGGTGGCAGCCCACACGACAGACCTGTAAGATACTCACACAGGCTACTACTGGTTTCTTGTGATCAAGAAATTTGTCAAACATGTTTCCCTTTAATGCCTACCATCTCTGGTTACATCAAAGGCATGAATGAAGGGGCTTTCAGATAGATCTGTATCAAAGGATATTCATGAAAACCTTTCCGGCTCCTGTTTCCCTAACACTGCCTTTCCTTCTTTTCTGTTTGAAGATCCCTTCACTAACAGGAGAAATGCAAACACCTTTATTTCGCCGCAGCAGAGATGGAGGGCTAAGGCCCAAGAGAGGTAGGTGACAGGACTTGGTGAGAGGGGGTCGTTTTTCCACTGTGGCATCACAGATGTGACTGCAGCGAGGGACACGCGTCCATCACGTATTTGATGATAAAGACCTTACAGACAATATTTTAAAATGCTACTCAATATTTAGAAGGTCATTCAGTGAAGACCTCAAGAAACATAGAGTTGGAGGAGGGTAAGACAGAAAGAAAACTTGTTTTCATTTTTCAAAAAAATACCTCTTGTTCTTCCTCCCATCCACTCACTGGCCTGCCCCATTCTTCAAATGTGGATAATGAAGGGAACCTTTGCCAATATTTTATTATACTCTTTTTTCCTTTTTCTTGTTTTTTCACCTTTCAACACTTCATAATGTTGGCCTTCCTTTCCACTTGCTAGGATCAGAGAACGCAGCAAGCCTGCCTATGAGCTCAATCGGGAAGCCTGTGATGACTTCAAACTTTGTGAGCGCTACGCCATGGTTTATGGATACAATGCTGCCTACAATCGCTATTTCAGGCAGCGCCGAGGGGCCGAATGAGAGCAGGAGAATCCTCTTTTGTTGGAGTCTGGTGCCTGATTTTGTATCCCTTTGCATAGCATTACTGAAATATACAGACACATACACAGCGCTTCTTTCCAATATACTCTTCAGCTGGGCTGCGCCCTTCCTTCCTGCCCCCAGGAATAAGTACTGAAAGTACCATGTGTTAGGTTGTATGATTATTACATAATAAACTTCTGATTTGGTACTTTCATTTTGTGATTCTAATTTTTTTTTTCCTGGGAATGCTGAGCTATTTAAACAATGGCTCTCTAATACAGAATACGAGATTCTGTTAATCTTGTGTCTTGTGTTGACTGAAAGCCTAACTGGACAATGCATGAAACTTACAATGCGCTCGCTCAGCTAGAATCTGTCATGTTACCCGGCACAGGGAATGACTGCTTCAACCATGAGTCATCCAGTGTTGTTCCACTCTAACTTAATGTCATTATTAGATTCTATGCGCTTATTTCTCATCTCTCATACATTAAGGTCAAAAAGACCAGCAAAGGCAAAAATAAAATTAATAAATAAATAAGAAAGAAGCAAGGGGAGAAAACAGCAGAGACAAATGGAAAATAAATGTCAAGGTGACAGAATTAAAACGAACTTTACCTAGTGCTGACGGCGGCTGAGCTGGGGGAGGCTGATGTAGGGAAGTTGCAGCGCTTAGCGGCCACAGAACAGCAGAAGGCGCAATTCACCACACGGGGGCATCACTTCATGGAGCTGTGCTGGAATAAATGGGTGGAGAAGCCAGGGCACTGCCTGGACTCTTGCACTGAAAGTTGTCTCTCTATCTGTGTGGACCACTTCATCAACACGACTCTAGCCATCACTGGTCGATTTACCCAAATTGAACAGAAAGGAGGGCAGTAGGCTACCCCAAGAGAATGACAGAAGCAGCAAAAGCCTTTCTATTAAACAGATTACAAGACAGAGGGAGTAAGTCACCATCCCATTGGCAAGTCAGTCTGTTGGTGCTAAAAAGTTAACAGATCAGGGCCCGGCACAGTAGCCTAGTGGCTAAAGTCCTCGCCTTGCACGCACCAAGATCCCAGATGGGTACGGACTCAAGTCCTGGCTGCTCCATTTCCAATCCAGCCCCCTGCTTGCAGCCTGGGAAAGCAGTCAAGGGTGGACCCTGCACCAGTATGGGAAACCCAGGAGAACCTGGGAGAAGCTCCTGGCTCCTGGCTTTGGTTCAGCTCAGCTCCGGATCTTCCCTCTATCTCTCCTTGCCTCTGTAAATCTGCCTTTCCAACACACACACACACACACACACACACATACACACACACACACACACACACAATTTAAAAAAAAAAAATAATGAAATATTACCACATAACCACCAAATAGGTAAAGTTAGAAAAACTACATTACCAAATGTTTATAAGGAACCTGAGTCATCCTCTGCTGTTTTCCCAGGCCACAAGCAGGGAAGAGCAGCCATGACTTGAAACAGTTCTCACGTGGGATGCTGGCACCACAGAAGCTTAGCTTACAACATCATGGCATCAGCACTGCTAGATATATTTTCTGCCATGCCCACCATTAAGAATCACTCCCCTTTGATGTCAGTTCAAAACAAAATGGGTTAATACATTCTACCTTCCCTTCAAGACCAAAGTACCAGAATGTTAAACACCTTAAACTGCCACTCACTGTATAGTGTTACGTCCCAGCAGGCAGAATACATAGGTCTGAGAACTAACGTGTGAAAGCAAAGAGAGCTCTATTTACCATGATTTATAACCCACAGGATGAATTTATAGTTTCATTTATATATTTGAACATCCTATGAATTTACACATTTCATTTGCCTCCTTGACTTTCATTAAGTGTTCTACTTGCCCCTAGAAATGAACTAACCACCTCTGTAACTCTGCCCTTCAGATAGACAAAATAAAGCTTTTAAAAAGCAAACTGGTGACCTCTTGGATTTTTCCCCTCACCTTTTACTTTTCTGAATTCAAGCATTGAAAGCTAACCAACGAGCAAGAAAGCCAGAAACATAAGTCACCCAGGGTTGTGAAAGCATGAAGTTAAGCTTTGAAAAAACACTGTTTAAGAAATATGCTCCTTGCCCACTTAGTTAAAACAGAACTCCTTCACTTTGCATAGAATAATACACAAAATTATTCACTATCTATCTCATCGGAGGATAATGACCACTCCTTTTGACCACAGATAATGAAGGTAAGTAATCTGGATACATTCAGATCAAGCTGAGACAGAGCTTTCCTCTTTACAACGGGTCTTGGAAAGGTTCCTATCGGATAAAGAGTTTTATATTATTATAAGATTATTCAAAGAAAATGGTAAGTGCTGTGACTTACTTTTAGGAGTGAATTAGACCTTAAACATGAGGAGAAAGTATAGGTATAAGAAAAGGGAGATATTACTTATTGGAAAATAAAATTCTAGAGAAGAGTATAATATCCAGAGAATGGGATCAAAATGATATAGTAGAAACATACGGGCAATCTGTATCTATCTCCTTGAAAACATACATAAAGCACATCTAGATAACGTTTTCAACAGAATCATTCTAGAAACAATGTTCTGGTCAGCATCCCATCAAACGTTGTTGTAAACTTCTGCACCCATGCAAGCTGCAAGGTCTTCATATATTTTCTCTTGGTAATTCTTTCATTCATTATACATATGTATATATGCATACATATATGTATAAATATGTGCAGATATAAAACTTGAAAAGCATATATACTATTTGAACAGTATACTAAATATATTAAACAACACTCTTGTAAATATATTTAACTAAAAGTAATAAATGTAATATATAGAGACAACATATCAAGTTCTCCCATGGGGTTTGTTAGTACAGAAACCTGCTTATTACACAAGGGTTAGGTAGATAATCGGACAATAGTAGGTTCCTTTCAAGGGACACCGATTAACTTCCTGCTGAATATTACTTAGAGTCACCAATCTTTATTTCTATATCAATCCTAGTATATAAACAACATTTAACAAGCATTTATCATATACACCTGTTATATCAGAAAATAAAATCACTGTAAGATGATCATCCCATTCATGATTACTCTTATTCTTCATTTCTGTGTTCTACTTTTCTTGATGACATATTAAGTGTTATATTTCTTAAACAATCATTTCAGACATTTTGGGCTTAATTCTTCTTCATTATGCTCTCTCAAACACAACAGAAAAGAGGCCACTCTATGGATTCACCTCTGTTTTCTCAATATTCCATGCTTGGTATGTTGCTTAGACATTTTCACATTTCCCTGCATCTTTTGCTAAGAACATTCTGCTTTATCAATGTGTTCCCTACAGGACTCAATATGAAGCACAGCACCTTGTCCAAAGATCTTAGAGTGCAACACACTGTCACTACCCATGGAGAGGTTAAAAACACATTTGTTTCTGGCATAAACGTTTCTCACTAGTGGTCTATTAAAACTTTCAGGCATTTTAAACACATACTGTTAGCAAGTCACATCTTCTCCATCTCATCCTTATGGGCACATTTTTTCATAATACCTTTCATTTTTCCAAGAAATGCTTAAGTTCTTTTAACATCAGAGCGAGGAACTTTAAAACATGAGGAACAGCCTCTCATAACCATTATATGTAATTTTTATGTTAATTATTCATTCTTACTTGATGCTTCATCATTGAAAATTTAGAAGACCATTGGTCATCACAGAATCTTGGAGTTGTGTTAGTGATACACTCATTTTGCTGAACTGACTTCCAGAATTTGTTTAGGAAACAGACGTGCAATGTGCAAATGGCAAAGGACAGTGTCAGTCCCAGGCCAACTCCAAGACTCAGAGGCACTTATGCAAGCCAAATCATCTCGTTTCTCTCAGGAGCTCCAGAGATTCCTTCACTGAGACTCAAGTCTTCAAACCAAGAATTGTTGACGGTGAAGGAAATAGTTAATATGAGTATAAAGGGAAAACAAGCCTAGATCAAGACTAGTCTCTGAGAGACTATTTAAGAACAAATCAGAAGCATTATCTGGACCCTCCACAATTACTAGTTTCTAGGGCACCTGTATTTATTTACCAAATATTCCTAAGAAATCAAGACTGATTTAGAGAAGCATCAGGTCTAACCTTAGAATGTCAACTGCAGGCGTAACATGGAACAGAAATTCTGTGTGTAAGCATGTGTGAAGAGAGAAGGAAAGATGGGAAGACAAGGAGACACATCTGAGTGTAACACAACCTAACACTCTTCCCTCACGACTCCACTAGGTGTCCTGGACGTATGTTACTACTGTCCAATTTTTATAAATGCATTTTTAAAGTCTTACTTGTTTGAAAGGCAGAATAACAGAGAGGGGAGAGGAGAGAGAGACAGACAGACATATAGACTGTCTTCCATCTGTTGCTTCAATACCCAAATAAACACAACAGTTATGCCTGCATAATACCAAAACCAGGAATTAGGAATTCCAGCTTCATTTCCAATATGGGTGGCAGGAACCTAAATATATGGGCCACCATCTGCTGCCTCTCAAGCATATTAGAAGGAAACTAGGTCAGAAGCAGAGGCAGGACTCAGGCCCAGGCACTCCAAAATGGGATGTGGATATGCTGAGTGGTAGTTCAACACACTCCTGTTCTGATGTACTTAAAGTGCTATTCCACATAGTCATTCCCAGCAATTCTAAAAGCATCTGTGGGGAGAAGGCAAAGCACGTATTGTGAACAGTGCAGAGGTGTGGAAACTGAAAGTCAGCTACATTAAAGCCACAGATAGAATAAAAGCAAAATCAGCACTGGAATTTAGCTCTCAATACCTGAACATCTTTTTAGCCAGGAATAGGTGAGAAGCTTGAAGGGTCTTTTTTGCAAAGATAAGATGAGAGATGGTCAGTGATCTGTACAAAATAGCCAGTCTTTGAACTGTATGTAAAACTCACTTTTCAGGGGCCCAGCACGATGGCGCAGTGGTTAAGGTCCTCGCCTTGCACACCCGGGATCCCATATGGGTGCTGGTTCTAATCCCGGCAGCCCTGCTTCCCATCCAGCTCCCTGCCTGTGGCCCAGGAAAACAGTTGAAGACAGCCCACCCTGCACCCACGTGGGAGACCTGGAAGAGGCCCCTGGCTTCGGATCGGCATAGCATCAGCCGTTGCACTCACTTGGGGAGCGAATCATTGGACGGAAGACCCTCCTCTCTGTATATCTGCCTTTCCAATCAAAATAAAAATAAATAAATAAATCTTTAAAAAAACTCACTTTTCAGTTATGTTCAGCTTTTGATAAGACTTTTTTTGGAATAACAAGGTCACATGGTGAAATCAGTCTAAAAAACATTTTTTTTACCATGATAGGGAATCTGTCTCTTGTCTAAAACAAAATTAGTCCTTTGGAGAAAATCAAATAATTTTGCAAGAGGGAAAAATAAACCTGTTCTTCAAAAAATATTTACAATTCTTTCCCTTTGCACTCAGTGAGCCAGAAGATGAAGAGAAGGCCCCTAGCCAAACCAAAATATGTCCATGGTTTTTCCACAGGCTGAGCTAGACTTATAAATGTTACAGTTAGAAAGCTTCAAAGTCATAATTCAGATCTGTGGCTGCCTGGTATACACATACTTTACCATTTTAAACAACACTGAGATTTATTTGTTTCATTTTAAAAGTGATCATGCATTACTTGCAAAGGCTACATAAGAGCTTGACAGAAGAAATTTTTAAATACTTAGGATCTAGAACTGACCCTATTTGTTCTACAATGCTTTTTCTGCATCCATATTCATACCCCCAGATTTCCAAGACCTTTCACAAGAGACCTCCCCACAGTATAGTTCATCTTCCAAGAAGTAATCTTGGCTCTGTTGATGTTGGTGTTCAAACAGAACTGATAATG